GTACTGAATAATTATTATACTTATTATTTATTATACGAACTGGGTAACAGTCAGAATAACAACTGAAGACTTATTTTTGCGTTTAATATAACGTGGGCCTGTTGGAAACAAAAGTTATTTGTAATTAATTCATAACTCACCCAACATTATGAACTCAATTTAAGTACACAAACATTGAATAATAATAGGGATGAAATGAAAACAAAACCATTTTTTGAGCCGTTACAATACGTTAATTAAAATATTGGAAATGTATGTACCCTTTTTTAAAAGGGACGTTCAACCAATGACCTGGGTGAGGCGAGAGGGAGTGACAGACTCTTACTGACTAAAAACCACCCCGTTCCTACTCCTGCACTTCGAGCCGGAGCCCCGGTAACCCGTTAAGTCCTCCGCGGTTCCGTATCGAAATGTTAGCCTACCATCGATAAATTTTATAAAAGTGCACGTTATAATAAATATGCACACGGCAGCATTATCACATTGAAGCAATTACGTACTAACATGGGACTTGTAGCTGACAAAACAAATGTGTAGCAGGTATTAAAAAGTGTGTATTATTTTATAATACCTCTAGATATCATCTATGAGTACCTAATCCTCAAATCCGCTACCCAAGATGGCGAGCACGCCCCTAGTATTACGAGTGTCCATAAGGGACGCCGATGGCTGTCCATCAGCTCGTTTGACATCCTATCCTATAAAAAAAAAATCTCTACGTATATTAAATCTAACTCTACTCTATTTTAGTTTAGTAACAAGACTACGTAAACAATACAAATTAGTTTAGTTATTTGTTAGATCAAGTTGTTATAACTTTGATTGACAGTTTACTAAGTGTGAGGTTGGGTCTCAGTGTTAGCAGTGGCGTGGTACAGTTTATTTTGTATGGGACAAGCCAGACGTACTTACCCGAACAGTACTGAAAGAGTCCTGTAATTTAGGGTGGTGGGTGCTATGTCTAAAAATACCGAAACAATGAAACCTAGTCCCAGAAGTCCCAAAGACGGAGTAGGAACAAGTTGGAAAATAGAAACGAGCGGTTTTTAGTCAATAGGAGTCTGTCACTCCCTCTCGCCTCACCCAAGGTGCAAGAAGTCACTGGATAATCGCCATCAAACGTTATAGTTTGGCGAGTTTAGATTTAATGCCACTCCTTTGTAAATTCCTCTAAATAAATTTATTCGACAAAAAAAATTTTCCTCTCAAAAAGCGTCCCAATGACGTGATCGTAAGAGTTCTGGATCTTGGAAACTCATTAGACAGCAAGAAAGTAGTGGTTTTCAATGTCTGACTCTGAGTTTCGTTTCTTATCATACCATGACGAGCTAAACACGGCAAAAGTCGTGTTTCGCTCGCTTTATAGATACTGCAAATCACGGTCCCTTCAAAACCCCTCATTTTGTCAACGCAGTTTTAACTCCTGTACTGTACTGTTACGGATGTCTATAGTAGGCGGCTCCGATTGCTTACCGTCAGGTGATCCACCTATTTTTTGCTACTTTCACCCAAATACTGAAAGGAAATTTTATGTTATACGTAAATATCGTGCTATCTCTGTCATTTTACAAAGAATTTGTAGTGACAGAACTATGTATACTTAGGCGCGGCTTAAACTTAGTGCCGTTTGAGAATTTAGACATTTATCACCGAAAAAACAAAATTAATAAACCAGACAGTATAAATGACGTAATACGCTCTAAGTTGAACCACAACCCATTCATAAATTTTTAATTATCCGACCTTGTTTAAAACCGCTGTTTAATATTTCAAAAAGCACTGTTTATCCCTTTTTAGAATAAGAAGATTATATTCAGGGTTTATGTTAATGCTTGCTAAGTAATAGGGTAAGTAGAGATGTCGCGAAAATAAAGAGATAAAATTTTATTTATTGAATGGGGGCTTTAGTGCTAAAACCTCATTTTATTCCATGGGTCAAATACATGGAAGAGCGATTTTAAACACCGCAAGTGCGACTAAGTATTACTGGGTTTAAAAAAAATCTCAGTAGAAGCGTAGAGTCTGGAATTATGCTCGGTATATGGCAATAGGCTCACCCCCTACCACATGGGACTAATAACATAAATAGTGTAAAGTGGGTGTTACATTGTACGGTGGCAGTGCCATAATAAGCACCCTTCGGGGATAAAAGGCGTGATTAACTAAAATCGCGGGTTACTCACGCCGCGACCGCGCACGCTGCTCATGAGGAAGAACCCCTCTGTGGTTCGAAACTAGTCTCTTTTCTCAGTATATTCACGTGAGTAGAGTAACCTGCGATTTTTAGTTAATTTAGTATATATCACGATAGTTATTATAAAAAGGCGTGATGTTTATATGGTTTAACACATCGACAGACAAGTGATATTAGAACTGTCGTAACTAGTAACGTTTACAAAATCCAATAAACCAACAGAAAATAAATGACAAAACATCTCATTTTAATAAAATACTCGATTCAAGTAATTTATTTTAACTCGATATAAATGACAAATTACTAAGCTTTCTTAAAACTATTAGTATATTTCACCTGTCAACTAACTACCTCTTTTGAATAATGTACCTTAAACTTAGCGTACTAACGTCTATAATCCAACATTGTCAAGCAATCAATTGAGAGAGTCGTAATAAAAAATAATACCTCAAGGAAATGTTGAAGATTTTTTTAATATGGACTTTTTATGAGAAAATTTTCACGTACTTACAAAATAATAAACGTAGTATATTATACATGTCGCGGAGAACCTAACGGGTTACCGGGGCTCCGGCTCGACGTGCAGGAGAAGGAACGGGGTGGTTTTTAGTCAGTAAGAGTCTGACACTCCCTTTCGCCTCACCCGGGCGGGAGCAGACATTCGATGATTTTCCCCCCTTAAAAAAAAAGTATATTATACATGTTTTACGTAAATATTACGTCACTGAGTATTCATATTATATGTGTGTAAGATTCGACCTACGACTTATGACCCTTTAGTGATGTGCAAGTTAATTTTAGTTTTATCGATAAACATAAGCCTTTTATCCCCGAAGCAATAGGAAGAGGTGCACATTATGCCACTGTACAATGTAACGCCTGCTTTTCACTATTAATGTTATGAGTCCCATGTAATGGCATGTAATAAATAGGGGGTGAGCCTATTGCCATATAGTTTTATCGATACATGTATTTAAAGCACGCAAGCCACGAATTTCTAGCTCGACCGGAGTAATAAAAAAGGCATGAAACAACGCCTGCATCGTTTCGTTGTAGTTAACGTAGTGTGAGTAAGATAGGCAAGTACTAAAACTCCTAACCTCCCCCACCCCCAAAAACGTTTTTAAGGGGGAATATCATCGAATGGCTTCTCCCGCCTTAGTTTCACTCTTACTGACTAAAAACCGACCCGTTCCTACTACTGCACTTCGACCCGGAGCCCCGGCAACCCGTTAGGTTCTTCGCGCCCCCCCATCCTATAGGGATTAGGCTCGGCAACGAACTTGTAACTCATCTAGTTTTACAGTTAGGCTCGTGTCTCACCCCATAAAAACTATCGATATTCAACGCACTATCGGTCAATGGCTACGTCACTAACACGCATTATTGCGTACATTAAAGAGAAACATTCGAAATGACTTGCCCCATACTGATGCAATCGTAGATGAGATTTTTATAACGAAACAAATAGATGCCAATCTATTCTAAATAGCTACTGAACTGTTACTTCATAGAAGCAACTTAACAATAAGATTTAGTGTATTCAAATTAGTATTAACATAAATGTTATGCAAGGCAAAGATAATTATTATGTTTAAGTTCATGATAATGTCTATTACGTTTTAATTGTTTCTTTAGTTTCGTAAGACAAGGTATTCTCGCGCCGAAGAGAATGTAGCGATATTCTCTCTTAGGAAAATAGGCCTATACACCCCCAAAGAACATAAGTACTTGTACTACTAAAATAAGAAAGTGCGGGAGAGCCATTGAGCCGGCCCATTCGTGCCGATGCGCACGAATGGGCCGGCTCAACCGGAGTGATACCACGGCCTCACAGAAAACCGACGTGAAGCAACGCTTGCGTTGTGTTTCGTCGTGTGAGTGAGGTTACCGGAGGCCCAATTACCCTCCCCTTCCCCAATCTCACCAATTACTGAATTTCCAACGATCCTCAAACTCCTGATCCCCAAAAGGCCGGTAACACACTTGTAACGCCTCTGGTGTTCCAGGTGTCCATGGGCGACGCCGATTGCTTACCATCAGGTGATCCGTCTGCTCGTTTACCGGCTAATCCCATAAAAAATAAAATTAATAAGCCTTTATTACCTACTGAGGTTACAAATTTACAATTTAGTCTCTATTATTATACCATACATCAGTACTTTTATCCCCAGCTTGCCCTTCCACATAGGCCTCGTCCAAAGATTTCCACTTTTCCCCATACCTCGCAATTCTCATCCACTCTGGTCCAGCAGTTTTCCTTAGGTCATCTTCCCAACGCTTTAGTTGTCGCCCTTTGTTCCTTTTCCCATATCCGGGGTACCATTCTGATATTGTCTTTGTTCATTTCATATTCCTCTCTCTTATCATATGCCTATTGCCATTTTAGTGTTTTAGATATTATCCCTGCATCTTTAAATTTAGTTATTTCCTTAATTGTTTGTACTACTTAACATTCTTTAAATAAAATTAATATTCAAATTATACCACCATAAACAATTTTAAAAACTGGAGCATTGTGCTTGAATATATTTGCCCTGCTAACATATATTCATCAACATCCACGTTATTTTATTTTAGTACCAACCGTGATCGTCCCACTGCAGGGCAAGCACCTCTATATACCACAACAAATACGTGTAATGTTACGAATTCACAATATTAAGCAATTACTTTGAGAACAACTTTGAACACAATACCATTGAAAACCCCTTTTTAAAAAACAAATAAAATAAAACACTACAAAAATTAAATTGTACCTTCTCTTTTTGTTCCCAGAAATAATGAAATACCGGCGCGAGGTCAGATGGAAGAGAGCCCATTGTACACACAGAAAGAATTTGAGGTAAAATTATTTCATAAAACAATACAATTTTACAGGGTCTGTTCTGTACAGTTCACGGTAAAAACTGGGCACTACTTACTTGAAAATCAAAACGTTCATTCAATAAAGAACATTAACATTATAGTCGAAATGTAGATACTTTTTGATATTTAATGTACTAAATGGTATTGATTTTGGTTTTATATTCCGTGCTCTGAATGTTATTTTAATAGCTACGATAGGGGTTGTATAGTTTTGACATTGAATAGTTATTGATATTTGTTTCAAGAGTAAACACCCTGATCAAGTTTTATCGTTGAGTCTTGAGACACCCTATAATTATACTAAAATAACATAACTTTGCCAAATTAGAACTCTATGTCGAAGAAATAACGTGTGGTGTTGTGTTTGGCACAAATATTTGCCACTAACTGTACTTGCATAAAAGGATACAATTTGAAAACAAGGCTCAGTGTTACAAAAAGGTGTTTTAATAATACGTTAGCTTAATTGAGACACACATTCAAATTTTATGAAAGCTTTAAAACCTTGTGATAAATCGTCCTGTGTTGGAGTCAAGCCGGGTCACCTGATGGTCAGGGTTATTCCCGCAAAAGATAAATGAAACTGAACGAAAGGATCTAGATTCCGTATGAAAGCAGAAGTTTTAAACTCAACAGTACAATTTTATCCGATAATAAGACTGCCTCGTTCGATTCCCGCACGGAACAACTGTTTGTATGATCCACAGATTGTTGTTCCGGGTCTGGGTGTGAACTTGTATGTTTATAAACGCACCCACGACACAGGATAAAATCCTAAGGTGGGGCAACGTTAAAAAAAATCATTTGTATTGTTCTAGATTGAAGATGAAGCTGATGAATGGGAAGTAAGCAGGTCTAGGGTGCACCTAGGAGCTCTGATAGGCAGTGGAGCCTTCGGCAGAGTGCATGCTGCTCAGTTAGACATGCCTGGAGGAGAGACCATCACGGTAGCTGCCAAAATGCTCACAGGTATCCATGTCATACATTATTAACTCGTCGAGTACCGGTTTTATAGACACAATTAAAGAACAATAGGTCGCGGTCACCGGTGACCGCTTGGTGTTTGACAGTTTAAGTCAGGCATTAAGTCCGCCTTTGTATACCTACGTGAAGTGTAAATAAATAAATTATTATTTAGGATTACCTTCTGCCTACCCTTTAGGAATAAGCACGGTTATTGTAGCTAAATATTGTCTACAACCAGGAATATATTTATTTATTTTGGTTAACCAACTATTGTTTACACTATATTTACTGATAAAATAGCTAAAAACCCATTTACAAGTGCAACAATTAATTATAGGTGAACACCACATGCAAAAAACGGTAAAAAACAATATAGAAAAATAACTAAGTAGTATAATAAGTGATTCCTTGGGTGCACATCACAAAAAGAAAAGGAATCCAACCAAAGACACACCCCTAAACTAAGAAATACTTAGTTAAAATATGGTACGTGAGAGAGCAACTAAACTAAACCCTTAGTTTTAGGTGTCACTTATAGGTTGGCGAAAATCAAAATACACACATATAATTAGGTGAACTTTAACTTCCTAACTTACTAAGGAGTTCCGTATTTAACTACAGGTAAATTAAAAAAAGGCGTTACCCTAAACCGAGTCACATTCGTTCACAAACCTCTATATATAGATATGTATATGGCAATAGGCTCACCCCCTATTACTCCCCTTCCCCTATGGGATTCATAACACAAATAGAGAAAAGTCGGTGTTACATTGTACAGTGGCATTAAGTGCCGTAATGTGCATCTCTGCCTACCCCTTCGGGATAAAAGGTGTGATGTTATGTGTACTTCTATTTTTTTAATATAGAAATAAACCGCAATATACCCTTTCGGGGATAAAAGGCGTGATGTTATGTGTACTTCTATTTTTTTAATATAGAAATAAAGCGCAATAGGTACTTAGCTAATTTCGCATGCTCAACACAGATTACATAAAACGTCTAGTGACTAGGAAATGAAAGTTGGCGGTCCGTAATGTTCATGGATGCACTCTTGAACTTCTTGTTCACAGTTATTTCTTAGGTAACTTTGTAGTGAGTTATTAGGTGTCGCGGAGAACCTAACGGGTAACCGGGGCTCCGGCTCGACGTGCAGGAGAAGGAACAGGGTGGTTTTTAGTCAGTAAGAGTCTGACACTCCCTTCCGCCTCACCCAGGCGGGAGCAATTCGATGATTTTCCCCCCTTAAAAAAAAGTGAGTTATTAGGTGCTTCAGACAAAATTTTCATCTAATTGGAAGCTTCTCTGTGGTCAAAATTATTCACCTTATCATTACATAGTATAAAACAAAGTCGCTTCGTTATCCGCCGTCTGTCTGTCCCTATGTATGCTTAGATCTTTAAAACTACGCAACGGATTTTTATGCGGTTTTTTTTAAAAGATAGAGGATTCTTAAGGAAGATTTATATGTATAATACATGCATATTGCACCCGTGCGAAGCCGGGGCGGGTCGCTAGTTGTTTGATAAACGTATACCTACATATTTGTCTTAAAAGAGTAATGATTGCAGTTTCTTTACTCGTTCTTCTCCATACGAATCCACACTTTGGAACGACCACCTAATTTCACTGACGGACAGACTGACAGACTATTATTTATTTTGTATTTGTTAACGTAAAAGTACCATTATGTTTTAATTGAAATATGTAAATGCTTTTTGGCTTTTGAACGTGAAAGTATATACGGTTCAGATACCAGAGTATTAATTGATGTACCTCAATAAAAATGCATAATCATAATGAACATAACTACATATTATATTTTCTATACATAATATATTTTTTTCTTCATTCTGTCTCCTGCAATAATTCACCGAGGGAAGTGGAAACTATAGTTTTTTCTTCTTCTCCTCTTATAATATCTTCTGATTCACTTCGTTGCGGGAACCAAGACAGTTACTCATGTCCCTGAGACGCGCCGGACTTCAATGTTCCGGTGTTTTCATGGTTGTATCTACTGTAGATCCTGGCTTATAGGAGTTGCAGTGGTTTTGGGGCGTTGTGGCGGGCTTGTAAAAAAATATATATTTTTCTTCCGTTACAGAGGAAGTGTCAGAGGAAGAAATGCAGGACTTCCTACGAGAGATCGAAATGCTCAAACATGTTGGTTCTCATAAGCATGTTATTAGATTAATAGCCTGTTGCACCAGACGGGCGCCCCTTATAGCGCTCTTAGAACACGCACCAAGAGGGGATCTACTCTCACTTCTCAGAGCTGCAAGAGGAAGAAAGAAAGATAATCAACTCTCCAACACTACAAGAAGAGTTGACAGTTCACAAGGAAGACCTTCTGAAGGAGATTGTAAGTATTTTCTAGTAGATAACAGAAGATATTATAGGTTACATCATGTTGCTAATGTGAAAAATCATCACATTTTCAATATTGATACTGATAAATCAAATCCACATAGTTTCTTCTAAAAATTATACAAATTATTGAACAGATACAGTCGGATTAATGATTATTACCTCTACCATGAGTATAAAAACTTAAGTATTTGATGATACTCAATTGCGAGGAAGTAAAATTGTACGCCACATTTTAGTTCCGTAAGTGACCGCTGCTGGAGGCGCTCTAAAATTTGCTATATACAAAAAAATATATATCGTCGCTATCAAGTATTGTTGAACACTATTACTTTAAGTTAAAATCACAGAAAACATCTAATTTTTATATGACGAAAAAAGTATTGAATTTAACAAGATTGAAATATCCTTATTTTATTTAACTGTAAGCAAACGATTAGGTTTTTTAAATAGCTAGTTCAAAAACGAGCGTCAAATGAATCTATTTAACGCAAATTGAACAAAGAGCCGTATTAAATAGGATAGCAAATAAAAGCTCAACTCTAATTTGGAACGCCTGTTGAATTTCTGTGAGCAATGTTTATTCTTGAACCTCTTCAATCAAAATATTTAAGGGGCTATATTCAAACAGAATAATGTAAAAGGTTCGTACATAGATACGTATATATACATTCGTAGAATGTTTTTAACGGTTTTTTCCTATATTGAGCATACATTGGTTTAAATCTTCTATAACATGATGACGGGGTATGACTTGAAAATCTATTTAGTCCGTAAGTTAGGTAAAAAAAAATATTAGACACGTATTTTTTTTATTTTGTTGTCTAATAAAAACAATACTTATATAAAACGAGTCAAAGTTTAGGAGTGTGGGCTAAAACGTCATTTCTACGTATAAAATGTTCATAGAAGTGACGTCACGCGACATTTCAAATCAATATATCATCGAAAGTATTCGTTTCTGTAACAAAATAAAAAATACGTGTCTAATGATTTAAAATAATCCACCAGACGGATATTAAAATAAAAATAAGGCATCTACCCTATTGATGTATCTGCAGTACCTAATTATTTATTTATTTAGTCTTTAATGTACACAATTTGATTACATAATAGCACATAAGACGAACTTATTGCCATATGGCATTATATACCAGTGCTAAAAATGGAATTTTATTGAAAGTTACACAGAAATTGCAGCATCTTATTAAGGGGTTTTTATCTTTGATATGCCAACCCCATAGCCCCCATATATTTTTATTACTAGCAGAAAATAGGTGGTACTTTTTACTCTATTTTTATAATATAACCACGTTTGTGTCTACAATTGAAAGGCTACCTTACACGGATGGATTTTAGACAAAAAACTATAATAATATAGCACGCAATTTATTTTTTAATTTCAGCTGAATACACGAATCTTAGTGATTCAGATCCCGCTTTATCGGAAGGCGATGGCAAATTATACGTAGACAGTGATAAGAAAAGGGACCATTATGTAGCTGAGCCTGCTTTACAGTTAGATGGCAGCACTATGAGAGAATATGCACTGCAAGTTGCTTTGGGAATGAGGCATCTTGAGGAAAGAGGAATCACGCACAGGTAACTAATATTTACAAAAAATTTATTATTCCTCCGTCTTTTTAAAAGTCGGTTAAAAGGTACATTAATCAATGATTATGGCATAAGCTGGTAAACGAGCAGACGGTGATCCGTCTGCTCTGCAGGTGATTCTGATGGTAAGCAATTGGCGTCGCCCATGCACACCTGGAACACCAGAAGCGTTGCAAGTGCGTTACCGGCCTTTTGGGATTAGGAATTTGAGGATCGTTGGGGATTCAGAGATTGCGGAGATTGGGAAAGGGGAAGGTAATTGGGCCTCCGGTAACCTCACTCACACGATGAAACACAACGCAAGCGTTGCTTCACGTCAATTTTCTGCTCGGCCGTGGTATCACTCCGGTCGAGCCGGCCCATTCGTGCCGATGAATGGCTCTCCCACACTTAATGAACGTAGAAGCCCCACAGAAAACCAGCGTGAAATAACGCTTGGGTTGTGTTTCGTTGTATAACTATTAAGTGGCCAGACCCTATAAAGAGTAGCCATCAGACCACCACAGATGGGGCCTAATAGGGCTGTTGCAGATACGTGCAAGAGTAAGAGTAGGAACGGGGTGGTTTTTAGTCAGTAAGAGTCTGACATTCAGTCTCGCCTCACGCGGGCGGCAGAAGTCATAGAGGAGTCATTGATTTTCCCCCCTCAAAAAAATGACCCTCTAAAGAGAAGATAAAATCTAGGATAAGATGGTATCTTAGGCAGTAGTGTCTAGAAAACTTTACGTCAATTTATCGCTTTCGAAATAAGTGCGAGCAATATTCTAACAAACACATTGCTCAAATTAGTTAATCGTAATTCAAATTAGATAAATTTTAACGACTTTTATCATACGTAGGTATTTTAACTGCCTGCCTGCCTCGTTGGCCGAGTGGTTGTAAGAGCCACTCCCGGGCAAGGGGTCTCGGGTTCGATTCTCGGGTAGGACAAAGTATTACTGGGTTTTTCAAAAAATTCACAATAGTAGAACGGAGGCTGGAAATATGCCCAGTATATGGCAATAGACTCACCCCCTATTACATGGGACTCATAATCATAACATAAATAGTGAAAAGTGGGTGTTACATTGTACAGTGGCATAATGTACACCTCTGCCTACCCCTTCGGGGATAAAAGGCGTGATGTTATGATGTTATGTTAGTTTTGCACACGTTTTTACGTTCTTTTTTAATATAACATCGAAGTAATCCGAAAGAGGTACTTAATTAATGTCTTTCCTCCTTTCCTCCTACTGTTTTTTGGATAAGATAATATCGATTACAAGACGGTACGATATTCGGAACAGTTAGTAACATACTATATCTAATTACTTACACCATTCAAGCATAACAAAAGATAATAACATATATCGGTCCGTTGCTCTAAACAAAAAGGACTACTTACATATAGTACTTACTTAGGTGCCTGTCTGTTACCATGAAATCAATTCAAAAAAACATTACCCACGTATTTTATTCTCAAATAGTAATATTTTTCACAAAATCCTTACTAATATTTAACCGACTTCAAAAAAAGGAAGAGGTTCTCAATTCGATCGTATGCTTTTTATAAAATCCTTACTAATATTATGTAATCTGAAAGTGAGTTTGTTTGTTTGTTTGTTTGTTCCACCTTCACGCCGTAACTACTCAACCGATTGCTTTGAATTTTTGCAGACGTAAAGTTAGAAGTCCAGATTAAATAATAGGGTACTTTTTAACCCGGAAAAAATTTATATTTCCGATGAAAAACAAAAGTATTGGTATAGATGGCGCTGCGTGTATTCGTATATGTCACATAGGCTACTTTTTATTCTTTTGTGACGCGAGCGAAGCCGCGTGTAAAAGCTAGTAACAAATAAAACAATATGGCCACAACCTCCCAAAATCGCAACTCTTGTAAGCAAGGATCTACAGTAGATAGAATCATGAAAACACTGAAACACTGACGTCTAGCTCGTCCCAAGGACATAAATCCACGTGCGCATCAAGGAGCCATCAGACCACCACAGATGAGGCCCAACAGGGCTGATGCCGATACGGAGCCGCGGAAGACTTAACGGGTTGCCGGGGCTCCGGCTGGAAGTGCAGGAAGAGGAACGGGGTAGTTTTTAGTCAGTAAGAGTCTGACACTCCCTCTAACCTCACCCGGGTGGGAGAAGTCATTGGATGATTTTGCCAGTCAAACAAAAAAATGACATAAATAAAAATAACTGTCTTGGATCCCGCAACGGGCACTAAATAAATCAGAAGATAATATTATTTAGAGGAGAGGAAAAAACAATACTTATAATACGACGATAACTAAATAAAAACGACTACCTACATCACCGGTTTAAGATTTACTTAATCATTACGTCATACGGTATTTTGAGTCGTCGAAATTACTTTATAAGAGACAAAGATCATTACTTTATAAGAGAATTTATAACAGACATTACTTTATAAGAGAATAAAGGAAATACGTATCTAATGTTTTACATAAACTTATACGATCACGCCTTTTATCCCCGAAGGGGTACGCAGAGGTGCACATTAAGGCACTTAATGCCACTGTACAATGTAACACCCACTTTTCACTTTTATGTTATGAGTCCCATGTAATAGGGGGTGCGCCTATTGATACTTAAGTATTATTAATATCTAATTTACGAGATATAAAAAATTGACGTCATCCCTACAAATTTTTCATTGTAGTAGTATATTTATTAGGAACAGAATCTATGTGCACAGTCCCTAAGCCAAAACCATGAGGGCAGGAATTCAAAACAACTTAATGCGCAGGTCGGTAACTGTACGAGGAAAATACCGAGGATTTCCGAGAAGGGGGTCCCGTTGACAGCTATATTCCCGGGGTCCGTGAGCCCCGGAGAAAGATATATTAAATTTAAAATAGAAACTTCAGGTCGGCATTCAGATTACACGCCAAATAAACTTATTAAAGGAGAACGGCAGATTTTGTACCGCTTCGCTAAAAAAAGATTTGTCATTAAAAAATTGGGTCATTATAGAACCTCCTAAGTACGTTATGTTAGCATATTTAATAGATTTTTAAAACTTGGGAAACCCTAGAAAAACTGATATTCAATAATGATAAAAAGCAATCCACTATACGTAAAACGAACCGCGATTGACGTTTACAAAGTTGCCATGCGTAAAGATGAAATCAGAGCATATTGAATTTCGCTATTTCATAAACTCATTTATTTTAATATCTATCAATGAAATATTTTCCTTTCCATTTCAAACATTTTTATAAGTAAATATAAAAATCTACATCCAATCTAAATCTACGTTTACATGGATTATTAATGATAATTAACATTTTAACAAACTTGAATATTATGGCAATGTTGAACTGGCATTTGTCTTGATGACATTGACAATTAATTTGTCAATACTGGCGCATTGCTGTTTGTTTCAAATGCGATGTTATGATGTGTTTGTTGAATTTGAAGTTATTTTATTCATCTGGTGATACGTTGAGTTTGGCAACCGTTCCTCCGTAGCCCAAATTGGTATTATTGGCATCATTGTTGTGACAATTGCGAAAAGACACTTATTTACATTATTTTGTGCAGTGTGTTGTTATTTGTCGCGATGATGAATTTACAGTGTATTAATTGCATTCAGAGTTTGTCGCACATGAGACGGCATGCTCTAGAAAATGAGAGTGAAGATTAGACGTGGTCAACAATATCCCAATGTGGACTTATCCTAGAGATGTAAGTACCTAGTTTACCCATAACATATCGAAAGTCACCATGTTGCCTGAATAAAAGAAGGCGCATAGTGTTATCTACCCATAATGTATCATTTTATATATTTGCAATGCTTGCTGGCAATTAGCAATGTATCGGGATGTTGCTGAAAGTATGTCCAGCAAACAAATTGGTCACTGGCATGTTTGTGTCGTATATGGGTGATTCATTGCAATGATAAGGTGACGCAGGGTTTTAATTGAAGGCGCCAACAAACAGGAGTAAAGACTGGCTCATATAGTATTTGATTGGATTCAGCCACAAGAGGTAATAAAGCATAATTTAACCATACTATTATCTATATACAGTGTAATCTAAAGTCAATATCATATTCTAATAATATTACTTATTTTAGCTTACTTCCCATGATGAAGATCATGTTCCATACTGACTGAGAGACCGTACAAGAGTCGAAACTATAAAACCACAACCTGACATACCACCTCACAGTGTTCACTATCAGGAAGTAATGTATTATGTAAACATGGACTAAGCCTCACTTTAACATTGCCATTTGTAGAACAGATGAGGCCGGATGATGTTGTTCGGCTCTCAAAGCTTCAACAGGTATGCATTCTCAATATAATGTACCTACATAATTATGTATCTATGTGGAGTATATAAGCGGTTTCTAATAGGTTTATACTCATGTTATAATTATAATTTATTAATTAGCATGCTGTTTGAGCTCCTATGATCTGTGTTATACGAATAACTATAATAAATGTTATAAAATGAAGTAATGTAATCAAATATTTATTTTTATCTTTTCCATTTTAAGATAGGGAATCAGACTTATTATTATAACATATAAAACTAAAGGAAAAAAATGTACTTTTGTTTATTTACAGTTATCTTACTTGTTTACAGATATCAGCAATTGATGTCTGCTGTACCTATGACACGGCCTGTTCTCTTTTTAGATGAAGTACTCCTAGAAACAACCTGAATACAATGAAATAAAAGTATTTCAAAATAATACATTTGTTTTATTTTAACCTAGTACCTAAGTAACTATATATTCCATCTTGATAAAAGTGATTTTAAGAATCAATCTATAAAATAAATGCCATATTTAATTTAGATAGCTTTAGTTTTATACCAAAAATGTTCATTTTCATTTTACATTTTCTTTAGTTGTAATGTGGTGGCCCAGAGGTTTAAGAAGCCCGCTTCTCATGCATGAGAGTGCGGGTTCGAAACCTACCAACGGCAAAGTACCTTTTGTCCAATGTGTCTTTTTTCCGAGTTATTGGTATATTCAATAATCTAAGAAAGTACAAAGACACCGCTGACGAATGGTGAAGGAAAACATTGTGAGGAAACATGGGCTTATAATTTCTTATTATAAGTTTGAATTACCAACCCACATTGAGCTAGTATGGTGATTAATGCTCAAACCTCCATGCGAGAAGAGGCTTCGGTCAGCAGTGGCCACTTATAGACTTAATGATGAAAATGTTGATGATTCTACTAATTTGACTTACTTATTAGAAATTAATCCTTACATGCGTGCTAAGCAACCAGTTTTCAGAAGAAATACTTTCTCAAAGAGCTAAGCTAAGTTTAAATCGAATTAACTTGAGACCCTTGAGACTATCTACCTGCAAGATTCAAGGTGAAGTGAGACATTAGTTTTATCATATCCGCCACAAGACTTCCACTGCTAAATGTAGGCCTTCTACCCAATGACAGTCGCTTACATTATGAATTTGCATTTTCGTAGGCACCTAAGAAATGAAAAAGATTGTGAGGCATACTCTTTAAAACTCTATAGGTGCATCATGCTTGCTGAATTAACAGGATCATTCCTAATTGCCTTTTGCGCTGCGACGCACCATAGGTTATTTTTTGGGTTTCTAAATTCTTGTTGTGTGTCGTAGCAAAATAAATGGTTTTTCTTTCTTTCTAATAATACAAAGTGTAATAGTCACTTGAGTAGCGAGCAGTATTTTTAGATTTTTGTTTTTTGTAAATAAACAACCACATGAGAGCACATTGACATTTTTCAGTTAACTGTCATCTGTCATTTGTAATAGATATTTTGCTTACGGTGGCTCTACACTTGACGTTGCGTATTTGTTGTGTTCGACCAAAAAAGAACATGTTTGGAGGATTTATTCTTCTTTGTTTGCTATATATTTGCACGCCATTACATATAGAGATACTATTTGGACGCCATTTGTACGTAGTCTACAAATATTTGGACAAATGAAGCGACTACGCAATGTCAAGTGTGGTACCACCTTAACATACCTTTTGCACATTTTCAAAGTGAAATAACTTTTGAACCCCAAGTTCTAAAAATATGTAATTTTTTTCTAAACTTCATAATAAAAATATCTATCGTTCAGACTATTCACTTGGTTAAAACAATGACTAATACAAAATTTTATAGCGGTACAAAACTTCCATACAAACCTGCCATTCTCCTTTACGCCATCATAGATGAGTTTCATTTTTAACTGACTTCAAAACACGAAGGACGTTCTCACGTAGATTGCATTTTTTTTATTGTAATTACGTGTCACAAACTCTATCTGTCAGTAATTTAAAAAAAAAATGAATATAGAACAGCCCTAATAATAAGGTACTTGGTCCAGTCAACGGTCAACTGTCCAGTCACTTCTTTCAACCGAAAATGTTTTAAATGTCATTCGAATCAAAATAATATAAGTATTTTGTTTATTCAAAACGAGTTATATATAATAGGGTAGTTTCCTAATTTTTATTTTATTGTCCACCAACCATCAATGTGTACCAGACGGTACATTAATAAAACTTTAGACACGTATTTTTTCTTTTCTCACAAAATTAAATACTTTCGACGATATATTAATTTGAAATATCGTGTGACGTCACAGCGTGCCACATTTTATAGCACGTTATGACGTAACAACCTCCTACTCCTAAACTTAGCGCCATTTTATCTAAGTATTGCAACTTAATACGAGAAAATAAAAAAATACGTGTCTAATATTTTTTCATAATCTAATTACGGACTAATTAGATTTTTAATTTTGATACCCTGGAAACTACCCAATTTTACCTATTTCTTATTTATATCTTAATCATAAGTACCTACTTTTATTTCATTCATTTTGGAGTCAACGTACATACCTATAATTTGTATAAAAAATAATAATAATCTTAATACGGACTACGGGCAAAATTCGGGCGTTCGATGCTCCGAAACATTCAGCTTTCACGTTGCTTAGCAACTGTTGCTAGGAGAAAACCTCAAGGTTGGCGAATCATCCGATTTATTATTCCGCAATTTTCAACTCTATATCTAAATGGACAAATCTGGTTTTGGAAAAATGCATGGATTAATTCAATTAATTTATTTATTTTCCCTCGTATCATCTCGTCAGTTTGTGTAATAAGTGCCTTTAGCCAAACGCCACTTTAGCGCTTGTCTAAAGAGAGACGAGAAAACTAATGCCGGAATACTGAAACGTTACTCAATTTTAAGTCGTCCTTAAATATTTCTGTCATCTCTGTCATTTTACAAAGAATTAGTGGTGACAGAACTATACTTAAGCGCGACTTAAAATTGAGTAACATTTCAGTATTCGGGCATAAATGTATAGGGATGACACGACGAAAATTTACGTCAATTCCATATAATTTGGTTTTCTATTCTACATGTAGACAAGTGCTAAGTGGCATTTGGCTACAGCTCAAGAAAACGAGTAGATACCTAGAGTGACCTAGTTGCGGTCGCAATCACCACTTGCAGTTTTTCTCAAATCTGATTTTGAAACCGAAAATGGTTATTAATATCTATATATTAACTAGGTATTGCTTGCGACTATTTCCGTGTATAATATGAAATTTGTAAGTAAAAGTAGCATATGTTACTCCTTAGTAGGTACATCTGTTACCTGCCAATAAAAGTCTTGCACAATCGGTCCAGCCATTACAGAGATTGGCTAGTACAAACAGACAGACAAAATTAAAACAAATGTCATTTTGGTATATGTATCTGCATTCATATCCATGTATTGAAAAGCGGTTATTTTGATATTACAAACAGACACTCGTATTTATTTATCTGTATAGATACATTAACAATCTATACATAATTATAATAATATCGTAGAAAAGTGCAAACTGTACATTGAATATTTTTTTAAAAGAATACTTGGGGTGTGATCTACAAACGGCACTGAAGCTAAAATTATGGTTTATAGAATTTTTGTCGGTTTGTCTGTATGTATGTCCGGGCTAAACTCAAAAAGTACTACATGGATTTCCTTCAAATTTTGCATGACTATTACTAACAGGTCGGGTCAACATATAGGCTACATATTCATGATATCACCTACGGTGGAGGAGCTGTGAATCACTATTCCACGCAAACGAAGTCACGGGCAACAGCTAGTATTAAATTTACAGACACACAATTTTTACTATCATGTACCTATATGTGAAATTTTCATGTGTACTTCAACTTAGATGAAATTCATGATCATGATCTATCAACCATCATGATTATATTGATCGAGTATTCATTATTTTTAACTCTGTAACTACTCTGACTTACAGGGACCTGGCAGCCCGGAACATATTAGTAGACGGTTCTGGTCTACTAAAGGTAGCAGACTTTGGTCTGTCAAGGTCTGGAGTGTACGTGCACACGAGAGCCAGACCTGTGCCCCTTCGATGGCTGGCTCCAGAAGCCATCTTGCATTCCCAATATTGCAGTGCCAGTGATGTGTGGGCTTTCGCTGTTTTGCTGTGGGAAATTGCAACCTTAGGTAAGACTATACATTCTCATATTATTGCTAATATATATATATATAAAAGAAAGTCGTGTTAGTTACACCACTTATAACTCAAGAACGGCAGAATAGATTTGGCTGAAAATTGGTAGAGAGATAGCTTAGAGCCAGGAGACCGACATAGGATACTTTTTAATCAATACTTTTTTTTTACTTTTTACCGAAAATAACGAACGGGGACGGGAAAAAATGGGATTACGCGTACGAAGTCGCGGGCAGAAGCTAGTGTTAACTATATAAAACTGCACGTTTGGTGCGGTGGCTGGGCAACTGGCTGTCGCGCAACGTGTCGCGGGTTCTCAGCAACTCCTTGTGTGATCCAATGATTAATTGTTTCGGGTCTGGGTGTCATGTGTATGTGAACTTGTGTGTTTGTAAATGCACCCACTACACAGGAGAAAATCATACTGTAGGGCAATGTTTTAATAAAAAAAAATTGATGACACTAGCTTTTTCACGCAATTTCGTCCGCATAGAATATAGAATTTAAGTAGATTATTTTTGTTCAAAGATTAATATCAGTCTGTTCGTTCAGAAGTTTAACCTATACAAGTAGACAAATAACTTCACTTCTTTACTTGTATACTGTGATCTTAAACCTGTATGTACCGAAAGGATATATTAGGGTAGATGACATTTTTTATTTTAATGTCCGTCTGGTAGATTATTTAAAAACATTAGACACGTTTTTTTTTCTGGAAACGAATAATTTAGATGATATATTGATTTGAAATATCGCATGACGTCACGTGGGAACTCCTAAACTTTGATTCGTTTTATCTAAGTATTGTTTTCTTAGACGACAAAATAAAAAAAAATACGTGTCAATATATTGTTTCACATTATCTAACTGACGGACTAATTAGATTTTTAATTTTCATACCATGTCATCATCCCTATTATAATATGCAACATAGCAGCGACATAACCGAAGGAATAAAATTATTCCGTTAACAAGCACCTAATGAACTCCGTTTGGCTTTCCAGGTGGCTTCCCATACGCTGAGCTGAGCAATCACCAAGTTCCTCCGTTCCTGGCCGGTGGAGGCCGTCTCCCGAAGCCAGTTAGAGCTTCGACCAGGCTCTACCAGCTCATGGTCGAATGTTGGTCTGAGAACCCAGGAGACAGACCCACATTCGCCAATATTGTGGACAAATTGACAGTCCAGAAACAATTATACGTGGATTTAGACTGCGTTTTTCCACCTTCAGAAGAAGAACTCCGATTGAAAGACTTTGATTTCAACATGGCTGACACAAATGGTTATCCCTACCGGTGATTAGTCATCGTTACACTAAAGACTGAATATTTTTAAATGTTATAATTATCACCCTATTTGCACATTACACTTGTATTATAATTAAACCCTGGTTTTATTTTAAACTAGCTTTTACCCGCGGCTTCGCTCGCGTCACAAAAAGATAAAAAGTAGCCTATGTGACATATACCAATACATACAGCGCCATCTATACTTACCAATACTTTTGTTTTCCCTCGGGAATATCAAATTTTTCCGGGATAAAAAGTACCCTATTATTTAATCCGGACTTTTAACTTTACGTCTGCAAAAATTCAAAGCAATCGGTTTAGTAGTTACGGCGTGAAAGCGGAATAAACAAACAAACTCACTTTCCGATTTATAATATTAAGTAAGGACGAGCTGACCCGGCCAATTTATTAGAATTTTTTTTCTCTTCTCTTAAACCTTCCCTGGATTTTCACAAACATTCAAGACAGCCAAAATCAGCCAAATCGGTTAAGCCGTTCTCGAGTTTTAGCGGGACTAACGAACGGAAATTTATTTTTATTTACGTGTCGAGTGGTCGCAAGTGCGACAAGTGGTGTCGAGTTCGATTCCCAGGTCGGGCCAAGTATCTCAGTAATAGCACGGAGTCTGGAATTGTGCCCGGTATATGACAATAGGCTCACCCCCTATTACATGGGACTCATAACATTGATAGTGAAAAGTGGGTGTTACATTATACAGTGGCATTAAGTACTATAATGTGTACCTCTGCATACTCCTTCGGGAATAAAAGGCGTGATGTTATGTTATGTTATATTATGTTTCGTTGGTTCAATTATGTAAGAACAATGTAACACCAATATCCAGTTAGTCAGGAGAAAGAAAACAACATGAGTATGACACAAAATATTAATAATTTTTCATATACCGTAAAATTGGGTGAAGACAGATCATCTCGCGATCACCTACGCCCGGAATATCTCGCTACGGCTGGGACGTAAGGGGATTCGCTCACGCGCTTCGCTGCAAAGGCTTTTTTAAGGGGGAAAATCATTGAATAACAGCTCCCGCCTAGGTGAGGCGGGAGGGAGTGTCAGACTCTTACTGACTAAAAACCACCCCGTTCCTTCACCTGCACTTCGAGCCGGAGCCCCGGTAACCCGTTAGGTTCTCCGCGACATTGTTGTAGGCTAGGGTCCGCTTTAATTACACCTATTTTTAGCTATAATAGCACGCCTTAGTTCTTAATTTAAGATTGTTAATTAGTGAGGTGTAAAAGTTATGGATAGCTAATTGACCATTACTTTTCATCTTATTTTATAAATAAAATATTATGTAACGAGTACGTCATTATTTTACTTCGCGAAACAAAGTCTCTAAAATAGGGTTTACCTCCTCAGAAACAATAATTATAACATAATATAACATCACGTCTTTTATCTCCGAAGGAGTAAGCAGTGGTGCACATTACGGCACTTAATCTCACTGTCCAATGTACACCGACTTTTCACTATTTATGTTTATGTTATGAGTCCCATGTAATAGGGGTGATTAGCAACACGATACGTGCATTAGGTAGAGATAAAGCAGACTTTTTGTGGCTGATTATACAGGCATTCTGCAACAGAGCACACTGTCTAGCAGAGTCACACACACAAGACACAGATTGAACTGAACCACATATATATTTAAAGCGCCTGGACATTTTGTAACAGCAAAATGTTATGCAGCGATTGCTATATATCTGTGATTAGGCGCACAATAATATATGTTATTGCAATCGAAAAAAAGCATTTTTCATAGTTGTACTGATTGACTTACTTGACTAAAAATATCCTGTGTCCCCTGGATAGGGCGTCCCATGAAGTTCACCATTGCGATCTGTCTTGAGCTTCACTCTTCACCTCGCTTCATGTCATACCGATGCTCGTCGCTTCTGCCAGTACGGTGCGACGCTAGGTTTGCCGAGGACGGCCACGCTTTCTTTTCCCTTGGGGATTCCAGTTCAGGGCTTGCTTGGGTATGTAGTCGGTAGCCCTTCGGAGCGTGTGGCCTATCCATCCCCACTTGCGGCGCTTAATCTGGTGATCAATAGGGCTTTCGTGGCATTTCTCCAAAAGGTCTATATTGGGGATGGCCTCGAGCCGAAGATTTTCAGCTTAATCCTTCGGATTAGTGACCGTGACTGCTACATATGTAGGTCTCAACTGCGCGAAAGTAGCTCGGGTTTTGGCGATCCTTGAAGTTATGTCCTCTTCAGTACCTACCTCCAGTCTCTGACACGACGCTCCCGAGGTAGGTCAATTTGCCGACGCGTTCCATTGCCTCTGTGCCAATCAGCAACGGTATGGGGTTCTTCACACAAGTTCTAATTTCTTTGGTCTTTCGGGTGTTGATTTTCAGGGTAGCTTTTACAGCCTTTTGTCGCGGGTCGTCCAATTTTGCTTGCATGTTGGCGTGGGTATGACTCAGCAGGCATAGGTCATCGACGTAGTCCAAATCTTCCAAGAAGTTGGATAATCCCCACTCTATCCCGCGGTGCCGATTGTCAGTGGTGCGAAGCATGATCCCATCCAGAACGACCAAGAAGAGAAGCGGCGATAAGAGGCAGCCTTGTCGGAAACCCGTGTGGACCACCATGTCATCGGAGATAAGACCGTCATGTGTTATTTTACAGTTGTTCTAAATTAAAACATAACATAACATAATACAACATCACGTCTTTTATTCCCGAAGGGGTAGGCAGAAGTGCACATTACGGCACTTAACCACTGTACCATGCAACACCCACTTTTCACTATTTTATGTTATGAGTCCCATGTAATAGGGGGCGAATCTATTGCCATATGTAATAGGAGGTGAGCCTATTGCGATATAGTACATAAATATTAATACATAAATATTACTCACTTACTCACTTTCCTGCCCATCTGGTGTCTTTGCGTGCCTATGGCAGTAAGTAGGTAGCTGATATTTTTTATAGCATTTTCTGATACGAATACCCGCACCGCGAAATACCTAATATCTAGTTAGTTATTTTTTCTGTAAAAGGTTTTGTGGTTGTGGGTACAATATTCATATTTACACTCGCTTCTTACGAATGAGGGTGTCAAGTACCAATGTGACTTAAGGTTATCTAGTACCTAAGTACCTAGAAACGGTACTTCTGTACCAAGGTTCACAACACAGGTTCTGTCCTGCTCCTGCATGGAGTACTGCTCTCATCTTTGGGACGGCTCGGTTAAATATCAGCTGGACGCGTTAGAGGATATCGAGAGGCGTGCCAAGAGCCTCATCGACGATGATGCGCTTGTGAAGGCTCGGCTTCAAAGCCTCGAAGTTCGAGGCTCGAACACAGGCGTAAGTTTGCAATCCTTACGGTTTTCTACCGGATACATCTCGGTGAGTGTGCAGGGGAATTGCACAACTTGATTCCCCATAGACCTTTCCATCATCGCCCCACAAGACAATCAGCGAAGCGTCACCGATTCATGGTAGATGTCCCACCCACACGCACGAAGCGCTTCGCATCAAGCTTCCTTGTGCTGCTAAGGAGTGGTATTCTTTGCCAGTCTTTATTTCATAACCAGTGTGTCTTCAAGGCCCGAGTTGCTTGTTGGACGACGTGCTCCATCGCAGACCGCATCCGCATCATCGCTTACTACCAGGCGAGATAGTGGTCAAACCGTCAAACGTCAGCCCATCATATTATGTAGGTATATAAAAAAACCTACCGCATAAGTAAAATACATAGATATTCGAAAAATAGTTTTGGTAGTCAGACAAAGATTAAAACTTAAAGTGAACGAACAAAACAATAAAGATAAAGCTCTTGAGGTATTCCACTTGTAAAGTAAACATTTTAATTTTTTATAGTTATAAAAGTTGCAGTTATTTTTTATACTATCTGTTGTAAAATACAAAGGATACCCGATGCAGGCTAGCTAGCGCCGGCGGCCGAATGCAAAAACTGGCGCCACATTTTCATCCATATTTACATTGAATTGCATACAAATATGAACCGTATTTATTAGGCTTGACAGTTTAAAACGTCTTTCATTATTCCAATGGCAGCATGCTGCGTGCGTGCGTCTATGTTCAACTACCGTGTTGTATATCACTTGCAATTATCGACTATCGATATAACTTGAATATCTGAAACTATCTTAATATATTCTAATTATTATTATAATTGTATTTAAAAATAAAATTATTATTATTATTGTTGTAAGTACTGAAAATTTAAAAAGATATTGATGGCTTGTATTAATTTTCTATACTAATAACTGAACAAGCAAGGGTTGAAATTGTATTATTTTTGCAAAACGCAACCATTATTGTAATATTTATTAAAAAAAAGACTGGCTAATGTGCTACATGAAAAATAAATAAATAGTAAAATAAATAGTATAAACAGTGCAGCATTTTTTATAAATCGATATCGATATTTACAGGCGGTACATCGCTACTCCCGGGCGAACGCACTCGCTTGCTCACTCATCGCATCGTTCCTTTCATTCATTCAGTCGAGCTTTGAGCGTCGTCGCGGGTGGACTGCGTTCGTTTGTCATTGACATACGTGAAAGCGTGTTCATAATAACTAATAAAAATTCACGTGTATTACCAATACAGGATCGTGCTGTTAAAAACTATAGTGTTATTCATGTGAAAATAAACAATAACTGTGATAGAATTAGGAAATAATAGCAAAATTAGTTATATTTTTAGAAGAACTTTAGATATTTTGGTGATGACTTGAGAATGAGTGTTTTTGGAATGGTTTAGCGTGTTGAGATCGTCGTTATGGTGACTGCATAGTGTTTATTAGTAACAATAAGAAGTAATTGAGATGGCAATGGCGGTGGTCAATGTTTTCATGTGTTTTATGTTGGTATTGTACCAATTGTCGGCGGCTTCCAGTGAGGCGTCGTCGGAATCAACAGATTTTGGATTGACCGGTAAGATTCTAAATTCAATTTTTAAAACTAGAATAACCTAATAATAGTTATTTATTAATTATCCTTTTTAGATAC